TTGCGCAGCGCCGTGCGCGCTGCCCGACGCCTCTGCGCGCGGCCACGCCCGACCCGGCCTCTTCGTCTTCCCCGCCTCGCCTCCGCCACGCCCCGCCCCCGCTCCGCCCTCGCCCCGCCTCCTCCCCGCTACCGCCCCTCGCCTCCGCCCCCGCCCCCACAGTCACCGCCGGCCTCAAATGCTCGGTGCTGTGCTCATCGCGCAGCACCTTCCGGTACATCTTGAGCAGCCGCGTGATGGCCTGCCGGCAGAGGAGCAACGCCGTGCTCTTAACTGGGGAAGAGAAATTCTTAAAGATCAGTTAATTGTTTTGGCTTAGACCAGGGATTCCTAACGGGATTGATATAGACCCCCAGGGGTCGATGATATTTTGAAGGGCGTCAGTGATAATCAAGACGGCGATCGGAGGTCAATAGGCGAATATAAAGCGGCGCCTTATTGGCGTAATTAAGATCCCATTGATTAGAAAAAATATTAATGATCTTAACAGTTTTATTACATAAAGAACCAAAGGGATATTAATAAATTACAAATTCGCTCATCGTGTCAGTTTTTCACACTCAGGAATTAATTAACGAATTAGAATGTTTAGCAAACTCAAAATATAATAATAATACGTGGTGAACGATACTCTATCACATAGGAAAATACACTTTGAAATAAGCACTGGAGAAATGTAATGCCCAGTTCTTAAAAAACACTCAACATTTTGAAACCATTGCATTTCAATAAAGATGAACTCAACCACTATAAATCGTGAAGGTCTTTGAAAACTCGAAATATTGCCATGAATATTGGGGTACGAAATTGTAATATTTTATGGATGCAGTATATTATTGAGAAAACGTAAGGGGTTTAATAAAGCAAATATTATCTTCAAAGGGGTCGAAATTCATGAAAGAATAAGTTGAAAATCGCTTGCTTAGACCAAATTGATACTGGCTGTGTAATACGAAGTAGAGAATCTAAACAACTTCATTTGGGGAGTTATGCATGTCCATGAGAGAAGCCAATTTTCGACGAAACAGAGTGTTTTCACGAAATAAAAGTGTAGTACGTCAGATTACTATTCAGACACCTTACATCAGGTACTTCATTGCCTTACTTTACGTGGCGAAACGAAGGCCATTCTGCGTGCTCTTCCGTCTGACCATGCAAATTTCACTACGATCCTTTCACCAACTAACGAAGAAATTATGTATTTCTTGGGTGACGAAATAGGTGATAGCTCAAAGGCTTCATTTAAGCTTGAGAATCTTTTACATGCAGTATATGTACTAACATGGACAGCCAACTTTACTTCTCCTCCGAAGAGAGACGTACAAAGGATTTTTTCGCCCTAAAAAAAGCCTCGGCTGCGATTGGGATTAACCCGCAAACATGATTATATAATAGTCCGATACGATAACCGTTATATTATCACCGTCGCAGCATTACACATTGTGAATGTGCGTAGATATACAAAAGGTGACTTGTGAATGGGCGAACCTTAGCGGCGCGCTCGTCGAGAGGTGGCCAGTCGTGCACGTCAAAAAGGCCGTACATGACACGCACGATGTGGCGCGCGCACAGAATTGCCCCGTGCGCGGGGCTAGAACTCAGCGCTGCCTGCACGCGGTCCAGCAGCAGGTCCAGCATCACCGCGCCCGTCGCGCCCGCGAACAGCGGACGCATCAGCGTGCTCAGCGCCAGCGACTCTCGCTGCCACAGCTGCGAGCGCGCGCCCCTCCTCGCACACACGTTCCCACATAATAGTACTTCTCCACACACCTCCCAACCCTCCTTTCTGTCAACTCACAACACACCGCCTGGCACAATTCCTTGCACGTCTCTCCACACTCTTCCTCACATAGAGTACTTCTCCACACACCTCCCAACTCACCTTTCTGACAACTCCCAACACATCGCCTCATACCATTCCTTGCACACCTCCCCACACACTTCCTCACATACAGTACTTGGCCATACACATTCCAAATCACCTTTCTGATAACTCCCAACACATCGCCTCATAGAGTTCCTCGCACACCTCTCCTCACTCTTCCTCACTTACAGTACTTCTCCATACATCTCCCAACCCACCTTTCTGACAACTCCCAACACAAATCCTTGCACTCCTTTCCATACCCTTCTCCACACACTTATTCCCACACTTCACCACACATTTCTCCAAAACCCCTCTCCACACGCATAACTCCTCACACACATCCTCTCACAAAACTTCAAATCACACATACCTCCCCATACTTCAACTGACACTCCTCCCCACTCATCCAACTCGCCTCCTATACGTCTTCACTCACTACCCCTCACGCCTCGCATCTCGCCTCCCCACAAACCTCCCCGCACATCTCTCCATAATTTTCCCACAAATCCCACCACACTACCACACACCCCTCCCCATGAACAGGTTACCAGCTAAAGTAGCAATGTGCTCAGCTCGTGAGACTCTCGTGTCTACTGCTGGTACACCTGCGCAATTTACCCCTTGTACCAGGAACTCGTCTATTGATTTGTAACTCCTGTGAAAATGCTTTGAGTTTTCTGCATACTCTTGTTTTATCAATGTATAAAACTGTGAATAAAATATAAAAAAAGCGGTGAGGAGAGTTGCATCAATTCTAACCGCCTGATAAGCTTGGCAGAGGTGATAAGGGATGTTTTAATTATTGCTCAAGTTTTGTCCAGTGGATGAAACTACGTCTAAAATCATATCCCTAGTGGCGACGTCGCCGAAGGAGGCAAAGTGAGGAGGGGAGGGCGCACCATGAACTCGGAGATGTAGGCCAGCACGCAGTCCACGATGACGTCGTGCGACTCGTAGCTGTTGTGCAGCAGGCGCTGCATGACGAGCAGGTAGAAGCGCGCGGCGTGCAGGTCCTCGCGGCTCCAGAAGCCCGCGCGCTCGCCCACGCCGCGGAAGAAGCAGTAGGCGCCGATGGCCGCCCACACCAGGTGCTTCATCTCCAGCTGCGACAGCTGCGTGTCCGTCGACCCCTGCGCCGCGCCGCGCCGCGACACGATTAGCACTGGGGCCCGCGATTTATTTGACAGAAAATAGACGAGAGAAAAATCCTACGTGCTACTTGGCGTGGATAGCCGAAGTCAAGAAGGTTGGAACTGCCATGGCTACCTTGATTTGGTCGCGAGTTCGAATTTTGCCTCGATCATGAATATTTGTATGCGTTCGTGAGTGTGTTTCAGTTTGCTTGAAGTCGGTGCCAGGAGAATAAAAGAAAATAATGAAAAAGCAACAAAAAGGCAAAAATAAGGGAAAATAATTAAAAGAGTACCTGAATCTTTAAAAAGCAGAAACGACAAATTTAGAAGTATTAAAACATCCTCGGACGTACAATGAAGTGATTCATTTTCTTAAAAGTCTTAAAACAAGAATAAATTGTATTTAAAAGAATCAACTTTAATTAAATTAAAAACTTAATTTAAACAAACTTGAATTGTATTAATAGTACAAAGGCATTTTGGAAGACTTCCCAGCTCTAATCATCACCTTCTCTTGAGCCTACATTGCAGTCCATTTGAGTAACGCAAATAGAAACGTATTGGGTGAACAGAAGTGGTGGTACGTGACTTCAACTATAATAATTCAAAACATTTATTCGGAGTGACTAAAAAATTATCTATGTGAACGAACCCAGACGTACGGGAATCTCTCTACTGCCTATAGTCGAAAGCAGCCAAGAACTACTCCCCAAATCAACGTGAAGGATGACGTTTCCTGACGGAGGGGAGGGAGGCATGAAGCGATTGGTTTTCTTAATTTTTTAAAATTATTGTTTATTCGTAGCGTATTAAAATTAATACGTGTTCAATTTAAATTTAAATAAAATAAGTAGAAATGCCACCGCATTCAAAACAACCGATTAGAATATTAACATGTTTCTACCATTTGATGAATTATATTATGTCAGTCTTGTCGAAGATTTCCATGTGGACACTTTTGAAATCGCTACATGTTTTCGAATTTCTAGTGTCACTACTTGATGAAATTGTGATTGTGCATGTAAAACGAAAACCGCGCACGTCAATTTGTGAATATGTATCTCTGTGAGAGAGGAGGGGGAGAGAGAGAGAGAGAAAGAGAGAGAAAGGGAGAGAAAAGGAGAGTGAGAGAAAGAGAGGGGGGAGAGAAAGAGAGAGGGGGAGAGAAAGAGAGAGAGGGGGAAGAAAGAGAGAGAGAGGGGGAGAGAAAGAGAGAGAGGGATAGAAAGAGAGGGATAGAAAGAGAGAGGGGGATAGAAAGAGAGAGGGAGAGAAAGAGGGAGGGGGAGAAAAAGAAAGAGGGAGTGAAAGAGAGAGGGGGAGAGAAAGAGAGGGAGAGAAAGAGAGGGAGAGAAAGAGAGGGAGAGAAAGAGATAGGGAGAGAGGGAGAGGGAGAGAGAGAAAGAGAGGTAAAAAGGAATAAAGGCAATGAGAGAGAGGGAGAAAGGGAGGAGAAAGAGAGGCACCTGGACGATGCGCTGCAGGCGTCGGAAGGCCTTTCGGCGGTCGCGAAGAGTGAGTTTGCGCGACGGGAAGGGCGAGCGGCACAGGTGGAAGACGGCCACCAGCTCCTTCTCGAGGGCGCCCAGGTCGGGGCCGCGGTGCTCCGACAGCGCGCGCAAGCGCTGCAGCCAGCGGAGCCAACAGAGCCCCGGCATCGCCCCTCCCTCCCTCCAGCCAGCGACAAGAGAACGCGCGCGAGTCACACCCAAGGCGAACGGGGCCACTCGATTCGGCTCTCTCCCACCAGTCAGTCGGGGAGTCCTCAGACATGCGATGCCTAAATCACGCCAGCTCTGATGCACTGGGACACCTAATCGTTGCCTCGATTATAACTTTTTGCGAATCACTTTCCTATTTGATCATTTTTCTAAAATAATATTATAAGATTTAAATCAGAGAAATTGCCAAATCCTTTCGGTCGTAATACTCCGGTAGTTACAATCATGTTTCTTTCTTCTTTTCGCTGAGTTGAAAACAGGTTGCCAATATCGCATAAAATGAACGTGTTGATAATGGTGTCTCGGTCAGTTGACATAATCGTTCTCAAAATTTTGCGTATTCGAGCACGATGTTCTTCTGTCAATGCATTCCCACACGTTATTACAAAACTAAAGAGCGTGTGGGTAAACACCTGGCGGAACTACGCCGAAAATCGGCGCATTGCGAATAATGTTGAATTTCTCTCTTGCAATGTGGTGCGAGTTATTTTCATTCCTTCTTTAACATGAACATAAAATAACTATTGAATCAGCTTTATACTCACAGTATTTGTTGAATTTATCGTAAGGTTTTTTGTATCGTTTGTTTTGCTATTTTTATGTGCTCTCTTTCTCGATGCTACAGGTGCGTGGAGAGGCGCGGCGGCGAGGCGCTTGGCGGGGTGCAGCATGGAGGGCCGGGAGGCCGCAGGCGAGCGTCTGCCATCGCCGCAGCCGCCGCCATCGCAGTGCGCAAGACGTGCGCCCGCGCGCCCGCGCCCCGCCCACACGCCGCCGCGGAAACAGCGACAATGGCCTGGAAGGAGACTGGCCAACCGGCGCTCACTCTAACAGGTAGGGGAGGTTTTCTTTTGAATTGTTTTCATTAATTTATACATCGTCTATGTTTTAAAGAAATTGTGTGTAATATTGGGCGGGAGTGCAATATGTGGAAGTGTTTTTGAGCTCCGTAATCTCTACCACCTGTTCTTTTCCAATACTAAGTTGTATTATGAATGAAGGAAACAAGTGTTTTTGGCGAAATTTGTTAGCAAGAAATATATCTTCCATGTGTCTTTAGAACGAAAGGTAAATTATAAACTTCTAATGACATGTGAAGAAACTATATATTCCCCGTTCTTATTGATTTGATATACAACAATATATATGTTTATTATTTGGCGTATATTTGGTTAAATTATATTATAATTCCTTAGATATTACTTAAGGATCTTATTAGTTTTAACTAATTTAATCTATAAAAGACATTACCTGCCTAATGGCGTAGGAGCTTGCAGTTTTGTGCCCTAAGTACAGCAAGGCAATACGTTCGAATTCCGGGCATTCCATTAATGTTTTCATTTCTGGTGTGGCATGGTACCCATTTCCAGTCCTCTCAGCGTAACACCCATGAATCTGGATCATTCCCTTAGTCTCTAGTTGTCAGGACACAGGAAAGTCCTACTCTAACTCGTGGCATAAGAGAAAGGCTCAATTCACCGGGAGTACGTAGACTAGACATGATTATTATACTTACACGTCAAAGACAGCGTGGACCTTGGCGAGAGAGTCGGTGGCGTGACGATTAGACGGAATCGTCGAGCAAAGACAGTGGTTGGAGCACTAGTGTGCGGACGCCGCAGGTCCTCGTTTATATTTGCAGTGGCTGCGGAAGTGGCAAGTGAATAACCAGAGGGATCGCTTACCCGCCGCTGCGTGTCCCCACACGATGCCTCCATTTCTGTAAAAGTTCTACGCCACACCCGGAGCTTAGTTTTTATAATATACATTAAAATTAAGAGGCGGATACACAATAATGTATATTGTGTACATGAAAAAGAAATTAAGTGGAGGCAGTTCTCATGTTAGAAAGAAACAAAATGAGTGAGAAGAAGAAAAATGTTTATAAAATGGTCAAATATCGTAGAGAGGGGTCCATTGCCGAGGACACATCGACTGCAGCCTGCTAGTAGGAGAGAAGGTTCTTCCAACGTCAGCATTTATCAATCTAACCACAGGCTATGAATTCTCGGCTATCCGGGAGACGCCGCGTCGTTGGCTGCGGAATTAGAGCCGCGGAAGCTTACGTATATAACCGCAGACTAGCAATCCAACCGTCAAATTAATCTCCCCTCCCTACAAAGTGCCGATTGGCGAGGTTCTTTTTGTCTGTAGCCTTCTAGTGGAAGAGATGGTTCTCCCAACGTCCCCTCACCGACACTGGTCTGCCTTTGTCAAGTGCAGTCCGACGATCCAAGCATCTCTCCTCTCTACAAAGATTCGATTGGCGAGAGCATGTTGACGGATGCCTTGCTAGTGGGAGAAATGTTTTGTTTTTTTTAAACATCTTATCGTCATAGGTCTGCGATTCGACAACGCAGCGGACACGCAAAACCTTTACTTATCTCCCTTCTCCGGTAATATTGTGTGATGTGAACGCCACTGTGCGCGACATAAAGGTCTATCGACCGCAGGGAATGTAACGTCTATGTGAAGAACAGTTGCTTTCCTGAAAACGGGGCAAAGAATTGAATCATTTACGCTTTTTGCTGGTACTGCTTTTCTGACGATAATAATAATGGATGGGAGGCTGGTGTGTAACCAGGACGGTACGACTGGTGTGTAGGTGGTTGCATTGAGAGTAAACATATTCAGTCGGCGGTGAGGACGGTCATAGCTTTCTAACTTTATAAGTTTCTGATTATCGTAGTAATATTAGTGACGAATCTCATTGACTCATTGACATAGTGCTTAATTGACTTGGAAGGCGTCTCAATTTATGGATTTTGTTTTGATATTTCTAAATGTTCCGCAAATAAGTTAACATATGGAAATCATCATGCCTCATAAGAACGCCTGACTTCATACGTGGAGTCGAAAACAGCAAGTATGAAAAGCCGATATAATTTCTACCATCAAAAATGAGATGAGTTAAACATCGCGTTCTTACAGATGGGAAAATTGTACTTACCTTTTTTTAACTGCGCATACAGATATAAATGAATTTCAACATTCATTTATCTATTTCTTCTTTCCGGGGCGCGATAATAGACGATTCACTGCCGAAAAATCGCCCATTTTCTCCAAACGTTTATAATATTTTCTCTTGACTACGTACGTAGTAATGCGAGATTGTAAAAATGAAGCCGTACAGCACTGAACAAATGGATGAGAAGCATCTAAGTAAGGTTCTTGTACTGAGGTGTCAGTGATGTGTAGAGTCTCCTTCATCGTTCAACTTGGGAATCGCCACGCATTCAGAGTTGCTGATTGTTAATGGTCTTCGATTAGATCTCACACATAAGGCACTGAGAGCGTTATGGCTCATGAATCGCCTGAGTCTGAAGAAAAGGTTGAAGACGATTCTCGCCAAAGATGGCTAAAATTTGTAATAAAATGTCTAACTAAATGAAAAAATGTTACACTCTTAATTTTGAGAAAATATGCTCTATTTTTACAAAATAAATTATTTTTGGGCTCTTTTGTTTCAATGAAGAGAGAGTGGTGGTGACTGGTATCCCAAAAGAGCGCGGATTGCAGCTTCATCGAATGATGGAAATGTAATTTGTGAAGTTCAGAACCCTAGTTTATAATAAAACGTAAGCAATTCATGTACTTTAATTAAAACTAAGTTTAATAAAAGTGTATATTAAACTGACAATTTAATACTTTGTATACGTGTCAAGTATGTTCACGTGCATCCCCATGCACATATTTATAGCTTTGATTTCCAGTTGGTACTCGAGATTTTGAATTAGTTCTTTATTGACGCCATTGCCGGTAATACAACTTATTCAAAACAAAAAGGAACTAGGTTTCAAAAATACGGTGATCGCACCTCATCACTTTGCAACAAGCTCTATTGTTCGGACACGTTTTAGACCAGCTCATTTCACAACCGTAGTTGTTATAGCTATCACTGCGAATCGTGGTCGGTCAGCGTGCTCGCTTACCACTTCGCGGCCCCGGTTTCGATTCCTGGTCGAACCAAGACTATAGTGATATTTTTCCTTGCAATGTCCTAGTAGTATATGTTGCTGTGTGGCGATGATAAAATTCACTTACCAGTTTGAGAAGACCGGAATACGGAGTGGAGATGTCTATGTGCTAACCACACCCCCTTAACCCATGCCCCCTTAACCCATGGCTATGAGGCAGGGACGTTGCCGGCAGGCCTGACCCCATTCACGGGGTGTCAAGCCAAGTGCATTCATTCATAGCTACCACTAGTGGTGATGGTGACTAAAATTATTTTATGTGCATTATTAATGCAATAATGAAAGATCTTACACACACCGTCACACACTTGCATTCAGAACTATGGCCGGTGAATAACTCAGAATAACTGCAGGTTCTGCGGGGAAGATTATGGGTCACATCGTATGCACCAGAGGGATAGAAAGAGGGGTTTTCTTCCAGAACGGACAACTTCAAATCAAAGACTCATCAAATGTACATTTTGAATCTACAAACTTAACATCAAATGAAAATAAATTCCTCAATTCAATTCAATACCGTCTAAAACTGATTGAAATTGTGATCTTTCAATAACATGCGATATTGACGAAATTAAATTACAGCTAGTTTCAGGCCAAGGCTTAAAATTGGTATTCCCCTTGGTCGCAGCCCTGCGATCTGTGACCAGAGCCTCTGTCACCTTGTTTCGCTGTGGCCAGTAGCTAGTTGTGATGCGAATGCAATCAGGGCCCTATGTTGAAGTAAGAGACCAAAGAGAAACAATGTGCTTTGCCTGGGAGAGTACCAGACGCCGGAGAGAGCCCTCATTGGGCATTGATTGATTTCAAATTCATCCACATTGTTGCAATATTTTGTCATTTAAGGTAAAATGTATTTTCCTATCATTATAAGACTACTTTTGCTTATCTGGCGGGGGTGAAATCGTGCAACATTAGCACGAGCCGCAGCTAAGAGAAAAGTACGTAACATGATCACAAATCCTACAGTTGAAAACAAAGGTTAGTGTTAAAGAAGAGTCTCTTCTGCGACGTAAGCGAATCTTCACGCTCAAGTTTGTTTACTGTACGATGTATCCGTGTACTTCGATTTTTATATTTGTATTATTACATCTCCTGCCTTTAAATGAATACTTTTAATTATTTCGCGAACGTCCTTCTCAACGTGACTTGTGACCTCCGACATGTGCTCACCACTGTCAAAAGGATTCGTTTTATAGTATACATGTACACGTAGGCTTCCGCGGCTCGAGTCCATTACTTCTAGGCTGTCCGCGTGACTGCCAACGACGCAGCGTCAGAACAGCCTAGAAGTAATCGTTTTATAGCAATTTTATAAAAAATGACCAAATGTTATGGGGCACAGTAGAAAAATCGAAGATTAAGAGGGCGAGCGATGAGATGCGCGTATAGTTCGATTTTTCGATTTCTATTATTACATCTCCTGCCTTTAAATGAATATTTTTAATTAATTCGCGAACATCCTTCTCGATGTAGCTTGTGACCTCCGAAATGTGCTTACCACTGTCAAAAGGATTCGTTTTATAGTATACATGTACACGTAGGCTTCCGCGGCTCGAGTCCATTACTTCTAGGCTGTCCGGGTGACTGCCAACGACGCGGCGTCACCCGGACAGCCTAGAAGTAACGGTTTTAAAGCAATTTTATAAAAAATGACCAAATGTCATGGGGCACTGTTGAAAAATCGAAGATTAAGAGGGCGAGCGATGAGTCGCGCGTAGCGGCGGCGGTCGCCGGAAAGAGCGAGCCAGTGGCGTGGGTGCGTGAGCGGGTTTATTGTCACTCGGCGGCGCCGGCGTGGGGCGCGAGGGCCGCGGGCGGGTGCTTGGTGGCGGAGGGCGACGCGTGCGCGCCGGGCGGGCCCACGCTGGGCGCGCCGGCCGAGCCGCTGTCGCCGATGGTGGTGGCGTCGCTCTCCTCGTCGCCCCAGCGCTCGTCGTCGGCGCCGTCCGCCACCGGCAGGAACGGGCGCAGCTCCTGGCGGCGCGTGAGGCGCGGCACGTGCGCGCTCAGCGACGGGTCGTAGCCGCTCGTCGCCCACGCCGACAGCACCTCGGCCGTCGGCGGCCCCGACGCGCCCTGGCGCACCAGCAAGGCACGTTCACAATGCAAACGGAAACATAAGCATAGCGCATAGACATAAACATTAAGATAAGCGATAGACTGAAGCATTCACAAACGTAAGCAAAATAAAGTTTCTATTGTCTGTGTGACATTCTGGTTTACTATTGGTTGGATGTGAGAATCGATTTCAAGGCATCAACTGTGTCCTTGGCTCACATGACGTTAGTTCTTCTGCCGAATTCTTTGCTCGAATTTCGTTTCTCGATTTTAAGTTACGATTCTGTGATTGGTTGATTTCTTATGACTTACTTACTCATAAGCACAGAAGCTTGCAATCTTTTAAGTTAACGTCTGACGTTTTACGCTTATGCGACCGCGTTGTGAATGAGTCCGCTAATGGACGTAGTCCTAACTTTTATGTTAACGCCATGATTATGTTTATGGTTTCATTGTAAATGGGCCTTCAACCTCACTAGTGCACTAGCACGGCTTGTGCAACTCTCTCCTGTTGCATGTTGTAGTAGTAGGAATAGGGTCAGGGTTATGGCAATTACAACATAAAAGCGTAATACACATGTTGTGACCATTATTTATATTATGCTATTATGATATATGTTTAGTGTGTTTTACCGACAGCCCTGAGAACAAAATAAAAATATTCCGAAACGTCGGCTTACTGAATGTTTTAATATCGTAATTCTCTCCGACCAATTCACGTGATTTAAATTTCCAATTTCTTCTTCATGGCCATCAGTCTACAACAGTTAAATTTTTTGTTCGGTTACCAATGAAAATAAGTTTTCTGTAACTCGGAAGCGAAAATTTCCTCGCTTTGTTGGAACTTTTATTCATCATTCAACTACGTGTATTTATGGATAAAAGACGGGGAAGAGATTCTGAAGCACAAGAAGACGTTCGGAGGTAATACTTCTCCCCCATACATCACATACAGTTTTTTTCTGTTCTTTCAGAAATTAATCATTAAATCAAATTTAATCACATGACACAACCACCTGCTCACCTAGCTCTGCCCGACAACAGGTCCACGCCTTGCGGGTTTTCGGTTGCAAATTATGAAATATAACTGAAGTTCCGGTAACAATTTGAAGTCTTACCGAATTTTGAAACAATCGCATTGGTGCAAACGTTTGTACGATATATAAATACTCATTTATTGTATACATAAAGTATTTGGGTTTTTATAAGCCATTTTTTAAATTATTCAAAATTTTTGTTAAACTTATAATTTTGTGCTTTTCTGTACATTTTTACCGATTTCATAGATTTTATGAGACGGATATTTTTTTCGACGGATTTTTTTTACGTTCTTACGCTTATTTTTGCAAAATTTTGACGGATTTGAAGTTGAATTAAAACAGTGGAAGGGAGAAGTAATTGTGGGCTAGGATGGTTGTACTTTGGGGATAATTATGTTAATGATAATGAATGAGAAGCACAAATATCTTGTTGTTAACAGTGGACATTCTTCGAACACGCATACTGAGATATTGTTCGGCGCTTTCACGAGTCGGATATCTAAAGTTGACTCTTTGTTTACATCGGAAATGGACGTTCCTTCACAATTATTTTTTCCTAAAGAGATTTCGTTTCGTCGACACTTCTCTGAACTCATTGTCAATATTATGTCACGTGAACCACTGCGCGAGCGTTGTTGGCTCGGCCCCAGCCGCAGTCTCACCACGGACTCGAGGTACGTCTGGATGTCCTTGATCTTGAAGCGCATCCACAGGCAGTAGCGCACCTCCCAGTCGTCGAAGAAGAGGTCCGCCTTGTCCCAGAGCACGTGGTGCTGTGCGAACGAGTAGATGATGCGCAGCGGCGGGTTGAGGTGCGGCGCGTGCTCCGCGCGCTGGTTGATGATCTGGAGTGCACGCACACGCGCGGTGCGACCGATTCATTGATTGTTTTAGTGGTCACGTAAACTGACAGGGTCATTAGTCCCTTAAGTGTACTGCTTGTGCACTGTAGGCGGCGGTGATCCTTCCTCCGTTGTATGGCGAGATCCGGCGCCGACTTATCGTCGGCTAGCGCGGTTTTCCCCAACCAGATATCTCCCACCACCGGGACACCGCTCCAACGGGGCAAGATAGAGAGCTGAGCACGGAGTGCAGGGTCGCGAGCAGCAGTCAAAGACAGACCTTAGTCAGTAGGCGACATTTTGCAATTGAGCTCTCGTGCGAATAGCAGAAGCATTCAGAGTAAATATTGAGCAGTCGTAGACGGTGACAAACATTAAGCAATTGCGACTTGTTTGCTATAGGGAGTAGCGTTTCGAAATGTGGCGAATAGATGCAATTCAGTGC